TGGTCCCGTGAGGAAACGAATCGTTGATTGTTGTCGGTGGAGCTGGTTCGGCGAGAGGTTGAGAAAGGAGTTCCATTTTTGCTTGGTAGCTCGTTCGGCGGGATTGTTCGGCTAAGGCGTGACACGCTCGTGGTTCGGCGTGACCGCGGTTTGTTTTGGTTTTGGTGAAGGAGCCTCTCTCGACGAACCCTCGGCTCGGTGAAGACTTGTTCTCACGATTTTGACGATGGATCGTGAATGGTTAGGTATGAACGTGACTGTAGCGAACCAAGGAATTCACTATGGGGGGAATGACGAGTTTGGCTTGTCAATTGAGGACTTGGTGGTCGCGATTTGGCGGAGTATTCCGGTGAAGTTGATGATGGAGACTTGGGAGAGAGTCGATAGTTTATTGGGAATGGTCCCTGGTTACCAGCTGTGGCATCGGAAAAACTCTGAGCCAACTTGAAGAGCATCGCAGATTTGATGAGTTGAGAGAGAATGGTGAATACGGAGGCAACGAAGTTACGGATGCGAAGTTACCGCGAATCCTGTTGGAGATGTTTGTGGTAGGTTGATCGTTTTGGGGCTTGTTCTTCACAACAAGCTGCGCTTGGTAGCGGATTCGACGTTGGTTCCCGGTGCGCGCGATGGCGGGAAATCGTTATGCACTGTAGATAGACTGACCGATTATTCGAGCAGGGAGTTTTTCCTGAGGATTTACGGTTGTGGTGCCGAAGCCGCATCGGCGTCCTTGGAAATCCTCCCAAGATATATATGCGTATACGAGGATTACTTCACTGACGGCCAACTTCGCTTTCCTCTCCCAGATTTTCTCGTGCAATATTGTTATCGACGGGGAATCGCTTTTTCTCAGCTTTCTCTTGGTTCGGTTCGCAATGCAGTTGGCTTGATGATGTTGGGGAACGACTGTGTGTAGAGGTCGATACCGATCTTTTCGAAGAAGCTACTACTTTCTCCGTTATGGCAGATAATCCGGGTCTTTGTCAAGTGAACGCCAGGTCGAGTCACAAGATAGTCCATGGGGTGAGAAGTAAGGTTGCCGACTGGCGGCGATATTATTTCTACGTGCAAGTGTCTGAGATTTCGGCTCCGACATCTAGCTCTTCTCTTTCTACCGAGTGGAATTTGTTTCCCGGTAGACTTTATTTGGATACGACTACGTGGAGTGAATGCTTGCATGGTTTTTGATCGTGTTTTGTTTTCTGTTTGCAGCGTACGATCCTCGACCACGTAAAGCTCGCAACGATATATCTGTGGGTCTACGTGCGATTTGGGCGAGAGGATCCTTGTTTTGGCCAAGAGTTATCAAGTCGTCTTGTATTCGTACGTTCCTTCGCTAGTTCGTTGTTTGATTGTTTCGCATTCGTTCTCTTACACGAAAGTGTTTTGCAGGTTCACCGTCACGTCTGGAGATGGGGAAAGCGAGTTGTCGATTTCCGAATTATTCTGACTCGTTCGGGGTGAGTGGTATAGTGCCGAGCGAAACCGAGCCTATCCAGATTGATGAAGAGCCGGAGCAGGGAATTGTGCAGCCGCAGTTGGTGGCTGAGCCGCAGCAAGACGTAGGTCTTGACGTTTCGGGGAGAACTGCGGTCGATCCTGGCCGTCGAGCTGTTAGCGAGGACAGGGCGGCTAGGGTCTCTGCTGCTCGTTCCGGGAAGAAGAAGGTGTCAGGTTCGACCAACGAGGCCGCCTTTCGCGTACCCCCCGATGTTGATGTTTCCTTACGTAGGAAGGTTTCTCATGGAGGCAATTCGCGGGAATCTCCTGCTATCGTACGAGAACGGGGGAGTTCTGCTCAAGAGATCCGGGGAGTTGACTATTCTTTCTCGTTCAACTATGAGAAGAAAAACGAACCATTTCCGGTTAGCAGGAGTTCTTGTGGCGACTTCGCAAGCAAGGTGTACGGATCTACTCGTGAGTTTCCTCCCGTCGATTCTCTCCTTGGGATGAATCTTTATCAGACTTGGCTTGCAAGCAGATTCAGGTCCGTTGGATTTGCATTTGGACAGGTCTTTATCATTTCTCTTCTGTCTATTTTTGAGTTCTTCGAATGATTTTGTTGTTGTTCTCAGTCGATCAGTGCCGGAAACGCTCTCGTTGATTTTTACGATCGCCGAGCGAAGGATCTTGAGCAGGAAACGGTCGCCCTTAAAGCGGAGAACAGAACCTTAGGTTTTTCTGCGCAAAATCGGTTGCGCGCGTTGAACTCGGAAAAAGGAAGGGTCGGAAGTCTCGAGGAGCAGATCGAAAAGCTTACGGCACAGCTTAAGAAGGCTACTGCCGAGGAGACTAGGCTAAGGGACTCGCGTACTTCTGCTGTTCGTCACGAACGAAACCGGGCTAAGGAAAAGATTACCAAGTACACTGCCCGAATTGAGAGGTTAAGGAGGCACATCCTTGATTGTCGGGCCGCGCAAGATCCTCTGTTCATGCAGTGCCAAGCTACGGGTACTCGGAAGTGCCTAAAGAAGTTTATCGCCGAGGGCTTGGCAGTCCCGGACGAGAAACTGGCGGCGCTTAAAGCTGACAAGCATAAATGGCGTGCGACGGTTGAGTCGCTAACGATTACCGATCTTTGCGATGATGATCTTGATCCTTTTCCGGAATTGGCGGATGATGCGCCGGTGGAGGTGACCGAGGCTGGAGTGGAAGGAGATGGTGCTTAGGTTGCTGGTGCCTTGGTGATCTCTTTGAGTATGAGGATTTGATGTTCGCTATTTCTTCTTTCAGTATTCGTAGGTTTTGTCCGGCTTTTTAGCTTGTTGTAGCTTGTCGGATCGGCATTATGTACGGTTGGCCCTTTGTTGGGTTTTGTTGTATTTCGGATTTTAAAATGTACTATGGTTGTTTCGCTGTTGCAGCAGCTTCTTTTTATTGATGACGTTTTCAATTTATTCTTGATTTTGGTTGTTCTTTATGTTGTACTCATTGTAATTGTGGACTAGGTGCGATCTGCAGCTCGGCTTATCCTGTCTAGTCGTTTGACTTTTACGTGCTGAGAGAAGCTTTTTATGCCTTTGTTATTTTTGATGCAAGGTTATTCTCGGCTGATTTTGTGCGAGGTATCCTTGGCGTTTTAAGCTTAGTTTCGAAACGTATTGTGGGGCAAGACGTCTCTTGACTTATCCTGTATACGTTTGAGCCGAAACGATGAGCTTAGTAGAAAGTAGACTAGGCGGACTAGTCGTACCATATAGGTGCGGTTCTGGTGTCCGGCTTATCCTGTGGGTGCTATGAGGTCGGCAAGAACGTGCAAGCCGGAGCTTGGCTTATTATGATTCGGCCGCCTGCTAGCTAATGCGAGACTGGCTCGGCTTTTAGTCCTTACCGAAGTAAGGATGTGGATTATTTCGCCACTGCATCCATGTGGAACGCGTTTAAATCGAACTCCTGGCCAGGGAGACGATGTGGGAGCTGGTCAATCGTCGAGACGGACTCGTTCGAAAGAGCTCGTTCGTGGTAAGTATGTTGGCGTTGATTTATACTTGTGATTTGACGACGTGGGAGTTGGTTGATCGTCGAGACGGACTTGTTCGAAAAAACTTGCGTTAAGTATGCCGGCGTTGATTTATACTTGTGGTTTTTTGTTGTTTTTTTTTTTGTTATAGCTGTGCCCAGGAAGGGCTGCCTACGTACCCGTTTGAAGGGATCAAGCCATCCGTAGTTCGTTTTTTTTTTTTTTTTTTTTTTTTTTTTTTGTTATAGCTGTGCCCAGGAAGGGCTGCCTACGTACCCGTTTGAAGGGATCAAGCCATCCGTAGTTCGTTTTTTTTTTTTTTTTTTTTTTTTTTTTTTTTTTTTTTTTTTTTTTTTTTGCGCAGAACGAGGGAGACGCTAGTAGTAGTAGCGCTTGAGATTCGCGGAATTCCAAGAACGAGGGATCGGAGTGCCGTCCATCGTTAAGAGTTCGTAGACGCCGGGTCGGACGACTTTGGAGACTAAGTATGGACCTTCCCAATGAGCGCCTAATTTGCCAGCATTTACTTCGACCGTGTTTTCGAAAACCTTGCGGAGTACGAGGTCGCCTTCGGCAAAGTACCGAGATTTCACCTTTTTGTTGTAAAATTTCGCCGCGGCCTGCTGGTAGTTCTGGATGCGAAGGAGAGCATGGTCGCGTTGTTCTTCGATGGTGTCGAGGTTATCGAGGAGCATCTTGTCGTTGAGTGAAGGATTCCGGACGAGCATGGATCGTCTGATCGTAGAAAGGCCGACTTCAGATGGCGCCACGGCTTCCAACCCATAAGCAAGCGAAAAAGGCGTTTGGCCGGTTCCTCGGCGTGGAGAGGTACGGTGGGACCACAATACACCATCAAGTTCGTCGGCCCAAACACCTTTTTTCTCCTCGAGACGCTTCTTGAGTCCATCAATGATGGTCTTGTTTGTTGCCTCAGCTTGGCCATTTCCCTGGGGATAACGGGGTGTGGACTTACTTAGACGGATACGCCATTTTGCGCAAAAACCTTCGAACTGTAGTGAGGTGAACTGAGTACCGTTGTCAGTAACGATCTCATATGGTAGTCCGTGGCGGCAAATGATATGCTTCCAACGAAATTTTGAACTTCCTTTGACTGAATACGAGCATATGATTCCGCCTCGACCCATTTAGTGAAGTAATCCGTCATGATCAGGAGATATTTTTTTTGGCGGGATGCAGGAAGGGGTCCGACGATGTCCATTGCCCAGCGCATGAACGGATATGGTGGTGTAGCAGTTCGTAAGAGTTCCGTTGGTGCATGAATAATGGGGGCGTGACGCTGACACCTTTCGCAACGAGCGACAAACCTTTCGCAGTCCGAAATCATGGTAGGCCAATAGTGGCCATGTTTACGGATTCGAAGTGCTAATGCTCGACCGCCAGAATGATTGCCGCCGGCGCCTTCATGGATCTCACGCATGACTTGGAGGGTCTCATCACCGGAAAGGCAGGAGAGGAGCACTCCAGCAGCGTTCCAACGACAAAGATTACCGTCAAGCAGTGTGTACTGTGCGCTGCGCGCTCGTAGACGTCGAGCTGCCCATTTGTCAGCTGGCACGATACCGTCGGCGATATAGTTGCGGATTTCTGTTTGCCAATCGGAGTCAACCGGGTCGGCTGGTAGAACAATTTGAGTGCTGGCTGAACGAGTTGAAGCTGTCGGTTCGTTGAGCGAGTAGACGATTGGATGCACGTTAGGACCGATGGCTGGTGCGGGCGGTGCGGATGCTGCAATAGGTAGATCGATGCTAGGCTGATCGATGCTTTCGACAGGGATGATGCGACGAAGGTCGGGATCAGACGTGGATGCAAGTACAGCTAGCGCATCGGCGGGTGCATTGTCACTCCGTGGAATCTTATTGAGTTCAAAGAGTTCAAAGTTTCGGGACATCTCTCGGACGACCTTGAGGTAGGCGTCCATTCGGTCATTTTTGGCTTCGTAGTTGCCACTGAATTGATTGGCAACAAGTTGCGAGTCACAATAAGCTTGGATTTTTTTGACGCCGATTCCGTGAGCGAGGCGCAAACCAGCGATCAATGCTTCATATTCTGCTTCGTTGTTGGAAGCAGGGAATGCTAGTCGGAATGATTGCTCAAGAACTTCCCCTGTTGGCGATTCCAAACGTACACCAACCCCAGAACCGTGACGGGAAGAAGCGCCATCTACGTGTAAAACCCATTTCTCCGTCGGGGGAACGCCTTCGACTAGTTCTGGTGGAAGCTCAATTAAGAAATCGGCGAGTACTTGTGATTTTGCACACGTTCTGTTTTTGTACGTAATATCGTACTCGCTCAACTCGACTGCCCATTTCGCTAGTCGGCCAGATTGGCTTGGGCTATGCAAGACCGTTCGAAGAGGCTGGTTAGTCAAAACTTCAATGGCGTGCGACTGGAAATACGGTCGGAGTTTTCGAGCCGAGATGACGACCGCGTATGCGAGCTTTTCCAGGGTGGGATAGCGGAGTTCGGCGCTGTCGAGCGTTTTGCTAACGTAGAAGATGGGGTGTTGTTCTCCACGATCTTCTCTGATAAGTACACCGCTGACCGCCGAGCCTGAAACGGCAATATAGAGGTATAAGGTTTCCCCTTGTTCTGGCTTGGCCAAGATCGGTGGTGTTGAAAGGTAGTCTTTGAGTTGCTTGAACGCTTCTTCACATTTGTGATCCCACTCGAACTTCTTGTTGCTTCGTAAAAGTTGATAGAACGGTAGACACTTGTCCGTCGATCGAGAGATGAAACGGTTTAGTGCGGCGATACGTCCGGTGAGTCGCTGTACCTCTCGGGTGTTTCTTGGGGACGGAAGATTGATGAGTGCGGAGATCTGTTTCGGATTGGCTTCGATCCCTCGTTTAGTGACGAGATACCCTAAGAATTCTCCGGAAGTCACCCCGAACGTACACTTTGCCGGGTTCAACTTCATGTTATACTTATTCAGTACTTGAAAACATTGTTGTAGGTGAGAAATATGTTCCGCAGCATGAGTTGACTTGACGAGCATATCATCAATGTATACTTCCATCGTACGACCCAACTGATCGGCGAACATACGGTTGACTAATCGTTGATAGGTCGCGCCTGCGTTCTTGAGTCCGAAAGGCATTACCTTGTAACAGAACGTGCCTTGATCCGTAATGAAGGCCGTTTTCTCTCGATCGTTCTTGTGCATAAGTATTTGATTATAACCTGAGAAAGCATCCATGAAGGAGAGCAATTCGTTACCAGCAGTAGCTTCGACGAGCTGGTCGATCCTCGGGAGAGGAAAACTGTCCTTCGGGCAGGCTTTATTGAGATCGGTAAAGTCAACGCAGACTCGCCATTTACCGTTCTTTTTCTTGACGACTACGGGGTTGCTCAACCAGTCCGGGTAGCGTACTTCAACTATAGATCCCGCGTCGAGCAGTTTCTTGACTTCTTCGTTGACAGCAGTGGCGCGTTCAGGACCAAGTTTTCGTCGCTTTTGTTTCACCGGTTTATATGTTGAATCGACATTAAGCTCGTGACAAGTAACTTCCGGAGCGATTCCCGTCATGTCCGCCATTGACCACGCAAAGGTCATAACATTTTGACGGAGGAAACCGACGAGATCGTCTTTAAGCTGTTGCGGTAGGTCAGAACCTATGCCAACGCATCGAATAGGATCACTTGTATCGATATTGACCTGGATCACAGATTCGGTTGCTGGGACAGATCGCGCGTTGTGTTGCAGAGCAGGCTCGGCAATTACGAAAGCCCTTGCGTTCCGTAGCTGGCGCTCGATTATAAAGCAGGTACGTGCTACCAGCGGATCACCCCTCAACGTGTAGATGCCGTGCGCGGTCGGGAATTTGACGCATTGATGGTAAGTAGATGCGACGGCCTTCATTTTGTGCAACCATGGGGTGCCGAGGATGACATTATAGACGATTGGTTTGTCGACGACAGCAAAATTGAAGCAGTTCATCGTTCCACCAACGTATACTGGTAGCATGATGGTGCCAACGGTCATGACTGTGTCTCCATCGAATCCGGTTAATGGCTGGACGTTGTGTTCGGCTGAGCGTAAATCTACTCCCATTTGAATGAGAACATCCTTGAAGATGACATTAACCGAACTACCCGTGTCAATGAGGACTTTGGTGACGGCACTTTCGTCGATTATTAATTCGACAACTAGTGGATCATTATGTGGACCCGACAGTCCGGCTGCGTCAGCTTCCGTGAAGGTGATTGGTTCCGTATTATCAACAGTTGGCGTGCTATTGGCGATCCAGTCGC